ATTAGGTCACGCTACCATATTTTACACTGCCACGGTCCTTTAAAGTATGCTGTTTCTTGAAAGAGTTGCTAAGTAGCAATAAAGCACTTTAAAAAAACTATGACTTTTTTCTTTTTTTTTTTCTTTTTTTCTTTTTTTTTTTTTTAATTTGTTGTTATCCCAAGCTCTAATATTCATCGCGGCACTCAAAGTTCGTACATAAATCGTTCAGACTAATGAGTCATAGAGAAATTCGCCCATGACTTTTCCTTTGCAATGCTCACTGCCTTTCCATTGCTTTTTTGGCCATGTATTAAGAGACGGTGATTTATTAACGCCAGGAAAATTGAACAAAGCAGGTCCTCCTGCACTGTGGCACCCAGCCTTCCACAGTGTGAATTAGAACATTATCAAGTGTGTTTGCCTCCGTAACACTTAATCACCAAAAGCCATAATGTGACCACAAGGCAGCTAAAACAAAGATTTAACATTTCTAAATATTAAACTTGTTAAGCAAATGCTCAGCAGACAAAGCAAGCACAAACAATTAAAGTCATCAAGCTAGAAATACACACTACCTACTTACCAACACAGACCCTATTGCTTGCTTAAGAAGTTTAGAATCTTTCAAGATAAATCAGGTGGGTTTTTTTTTTAAATGGAAAAAAAAAAAAAAAGAAAAAAGAAAAAATGAAAGAAAGAAAAACAAACTCCAGTAACAAGGAGTTGAGTTTCACTTCTGAGAGAATCACTCCTAGTGAGGACTGACGGCCACAGATCCATTCCTGACTATCTGCATTAATTATTTAATGAGTCACGTGACCCTAAAGATTAAAATTTCAATATCTCCCCCAGAACAGACGCAACACCTTTATCTGCGAGCGCAGGGATGCTCGTACTTGGGTCCCCTAATCTCTCCTGCCTTTGACAGCTCCTCAGTTTCCAGGGAGAGCTCTGGGGCATTATTAACAAGGGTTTGTCCCGCTCTGCACAGAGAGCCGGGGCAGCTTCACACCCTCCTCCCCCCACCCTCCAAATGAATCAGTTGAACCCAAATCGTCACTGTCTGCGGCGGGGAGCGGGCTCCGCGCTGCTGCCAGGGGCACGGAGGGCGCCAGGGCGGCGCTGCCCGGGCCGCGTGTCGGGGGTGAGTGCCGCCGGTCCGCGGGCCGGGCGGAGCCAGCAGCGCTGCCCGGGCCGCAGGGAGGCGGCCGCGGAGCTGCCCCGGGCCCGCCGCCCCCGCGCCCGTGGGCCGGGCCTGGGCGCCCGCGCAGGAGGGACGGCCCCGCACAGCGACACCCGGGTCCCGGGCCCGCGCAGCAGGGACAGCCCCGCAGGGACACCCGGGTCCCGGGCCCGCGCAGCAGGGACAGCCCCGCAGGGACACCCGGGTCCCGGGCCCGCGCAGCAGGGACAGCCCGCAGGGACACCCGGGTCCCGGGCCCGCGCAGGGACAGCAGGGACAGCACCCGGGTCCCACCCCGGCCCGGCCAGGCCCTGAGAGCACGGGCGCAGCCTCCGCCTCCTCGGGGGGTGACGCGCGGTCCCCGGGCGGAGGAGCGGGAGCGGCGGGAGAGCCCGGGCGGCCCGAACGCGGCCCCGACGCTGGGCGGGGGGGCCGGGAGAGCTGGAGTTTCACTGCAAGCCTGTCGGGATCTCCGCCTGCGTGAGGGCTCCCCCCACCCCTTCCTCGTTTACAAACACAGGACAAGAAGCCATGGGACTGCAAGCGCCCTGGGGAAGAAAAAAAAATTAAAAAAAAAATGAAGAAATAAAGAAAAAAATCCTAGCATTGCGTAATCCCCCCGTGCAGGATGGCCCTGGTTATTAAATACCACAAGGCGCTTGTCACAGTTCAGCTCCTCCTGTAATGAAACACCAGGTATAGCAAGAGCTTGCAGGAGAAACGAGGATGGGGATCTCGGAAGAGAAGTATTTTTCTTGGTGGGTGGAGGGGAGGTGGGTGCCGGGGTTAACCGAGTGGCGTTCCCTGCTGACAGCAAATTGACTCCGAGGTGATTTGGTCTTTCTTTGAAATATTGACACACTTCCACTTCCAGCGTTTTGAGCCGTGCTCGCCTTTGTGGCCAGAGCAGATAAATCCGTGTGTGAGAGACACCGGGAGAGCGAGAGAGAGGGAGGGGGGCAGAGACATTTAGGTCCAAGTGCCGGATTAAAAAGAATACTGTCTTTAAAGGTCAAGGGTTTGAAGGGTCAGTCTGCTCCTCTAAAAAAAACAACTAATGGGATAGAAAATTTGTCCTCTCGGTGAACTCCTGGTTGCCTTAGCAAAGGGAGCACAATGCGAGAATTTAAACAGGACGATGTAATTTTTGAGGTTATTGTAAAGACGGGAGGTATTGGACGGGGAGCAGAGGGCTCCCAGCCCGGGAGCAGCATTCTGCTCCCAGCACAGGCAGAAGGGGAAGAGAAGGAAGGAGAATTTACCTTAAACGATGATAACCGGCCATGGGGTATTTTGCAGTCCGCAGCTCAATCTCCAGCAAGAGAATGTGCATTTTTTTAGGAGACAGCCAAGATGCTGTGTCTTTACACATGACCACTTTTTTTTTTCCCCCAGGAAAATCCTTTGCGTCTTCACAGACTTTTCCAAGAGAATGCCTTTCAGAACCGCTGTTGAATTACAAAGAAGTATTTATTGTAGGAGGTGATTAATGATTCTCCCTAAAATTGCTATTTGCAGCGTGATTTCATTTCTCTTTACAATGGGAGCAAACCAGGTTTGTACGCATAGGCTGCACACTAAAGAAATCCTGCACTGCCAGTTAATACGTTTCAGCTGGAATTTTGCTCAGTTGTGCTAATTTTGGCTCCAAACACATTAAGGGATTCTCAAGCAATAAACCAAATGAAGAATCGCACATTTGCAGATAGTAGTTACCTGGCATACAGCTATATTTTTTCCCCTTTATAAGGAGACAACTGGCGACTCAGGATTTAGCAAACAGCAATATATGAGCAGAAGTGTGCTTTTCAGGCCTGCTCCTCGGTCAGGTATGGGGACAGCCGTGTTTGCTGAGGGTGTTTACAGCTGCCACCTTCCTGATGCTGAACGTGTTCTGCCAGTGGCACGTTCCATTTTCCTCTGGGATGGTACATGTTCCATGGCTAGGCAGGGATGCTGGCACAGCCTATGGAGCCTGGTGCTACCTCAACCAGGGATGATGATGCCCCCTGGTCCTGGTGGCCCCACTTAGGTGAAGACAAGCACTGATTCCAAGAATCCATCTTGTGTGTATTTGGCTGAGTAAATAAATAACTATTGGCCTTCAGGTCTTCCCTGGAAGATTTGGTAGCACTTGAGCTCCTTTCCAAGACCTTTCCTACCCAGCTCAGTGCTACACCGTGTCGTGAAAGCCCCAAGCAGCTCTGCTAGCAGCTCTGCTTTGCCTGAACTCCTTAGCTGCCTGGAAGCAGGAAGATGCACAGCCTGAGCTGAAACCAGTTGAATCCCATTTTGCCACAATAGTTGTGACAATCTCCGTCAAAAAAGCCTCATGAGTTGTATCCAAATTCATGTGTCTACCAAGGCTTTCTCAACACATTTTGAAATAATCTTAAAACAAAAAAAAAAAAAAAAAAAAAGGAAATAGAAACAGAAAAGGCAGTTTAAAAACAAATTTTAGGTTACCGTTCATGTATTCCCCTTAAACAGTGCTAGCCAGCTAAGAAATCATAATCAGGCGAAAATGAATGAATAAACCACGACTGGCTAAAGATTTAAAGTGTTATCACGGCATGGGAGCTTATTGGCTCCCAGAAGAAGCACAGTTTCCCTTGTCAGGCAGCTGAAAACAGTCGCACGGCCAGCGGTGGAGTCGGGCTCATTCTGCCTAAGTCAGCTGAAGAGAGCACCACTCACCTATACAATGAAGCAAGACCTTTCCTCGTCCTGCAACTCAATTTTTCCCAGCCAGGCGAGTAGGAGTCAGGAGGTTTCTCACCACATTTGAAATAACCATTACCTTATTGACAGGATGAATCCAAGTCAAAACAATGCATTAAACTGTTGGTTTCCATTCCTGACGCCAACACCAGCCATGCACAAGGTGGATGAAACAGCACGTAGTGGACTTGTGTTTCAAGCGTTTAATTCTTTTGTACAGAATAATCTTTATTACTAGCATTTGGCACTGTTATACATTACACCAAAAATCCACAAATTGTACATGGACCCAAACTATTTAGACGGTGCCAAATATGAAGACAGCAACAGCCTTTATAACAATATTTCTTTAAATAAATGCAATAGGGAATGTGGAGAAAAACTAATAGATCACAGCTACTGAGGGGACTACACTTAAAACCAGTTAAGTTACCTTTGATACATAAAACATTTTCCTTTAGACAGCGTAAGGGGACTTTTTCACAAGTCTTTAACCTCTAGTGGACGTGTTCGTTCTCCCATGTTGGTCTGTGTGTGTATACGTGCCTGTGCACCATCTCACACACAAGCACGCACAGAGAAATCCATGAACACACCACAGAACAGCGCTATTCAAGTCAATGCCTTACACAAGTGTCTCACGAGCTCTTTGCTTTGTTTTAAACGTTTTTTTTTTATTTTTAACGCGTTCCCTAAAAAAAAAAAAAAAAAAAAAAAAAAAGAGTCCGTCTTAGGTACAGAGAATTCGTCCATGACAGCATCCATCCCTCTCTTATACCGAGGGCAAGAGAGTGTTTCCATAAATAGAAAAAAATGATGGGCATGGAACCATTATCTATATACAATGTAGACAATCGTCCGGGTTTTGGTTTAAACATGTGCCCGTTCTTGGACACGTCTCGTCTTCCTTTTCTGCTCCTGTTTTGTTTTACACAGTTTGGTCCAAAAGGCCAGCCTCCACCTCGAGGCAGCTTGAAAACCCCAATAGATAGGTATATATATATATATTTTAAAAAACACAACAACAACAACGACAAAAAAAAAAAAAAAAAAAAAAAAAAAAAAAGCCAACCAAACAAAAAAAGACCAAAAAGACTCAAACCAAAAACCGTATTTATAGCGCAGCTGCGTTGGGTGTAGCCCCATCGAGCGGATGGGGGTGGCCCTGTGTCTGTGCTTTGGACTGCTGGCTCAGTGTGGACTGGTTTGAGGAGCGCATCTTTGTGTTAGGCAGTTTATGGTCTTTCTTCCACTTCATGCGCCTGTTCTGGAACCAGATTTTGACCTGGCGCTCGGAGAGGCAGAGGGTGTGCGCGATCTCGATGCGTCGCCTTCTGGTCAGGTAGCGGTTGAAGTGAAACTCCTTCTCCAGCTCCAGGACCTGCTGTCTGGTGTAGGCAGTGCGGGACCTCTTGGGCTCCCCTCCGTTGTAATTGGGGTTGACTGAAACGTGCACACACAGGCACACACATACACACGCGGAGAGGAAAGAAGGAGAGGGGAAGGGATGGAACATAATCATTATATAATAACTTGACACCGGGTTCACATAAGATACATAAACGGCAAGAAAAATTGTTTCCCAGCCTATCGACAGTGGGGACAATCGAGGAGCAATAAAAAATGGTGATGGGCATTTGGGTTAGAAGAAAAGCTTCAAAGACACATGGCCCAGAGCCACTGCAGGGCAATTAAATTTATGGGGGCTATAATTACTGCCCTAACAGTTTGGCGTCTCGTAAATCTTTTGATAAAGGACCCCGGATACAAAAGGTTTCTCACTTTTTTCTTTTTTTTTTCCCTTTTTTTCTTTTCTTTTTTTTTTTTTTTTGCTTGAATTTTTTTCTTTCTTTTTTTTTTTTTTTTTTTTTTTTTTTCTTTTACTATTAGGAAACGCGGAGGGAGAAGGAGGGGAAAAAAAAAAGCCACACACGCCACGACCCATCCCGGTCCCGGGAGCACCCTCCCCCCTTCCCTCCTCTGCAGGCGCATCCCCACCTCCCCCTGGCAAGGGCAACTCACCCGTGCTCACATGGATCTTCTTCATCCAGGGGTAGACCACCGGCTCCTTCCCCTTCAGCCCGGGCAGGCTCTTGTCGGGCAGCAGCGGGCAGGCGGGCCCGGTGCCGGCCCCGGCGGCGGGGGCAGCTTCGCAGCGGCGCTGCAGGGCATGGCCTGGGAGCAGGGGCTGGGGCGGGCCGGGGTGGCCCTTGGCGGGCGGCGGCGGCGAGGCGCCCGGGGGCGGCTGCTCGGGGCCCGGGGCGGCGCTGCCGGCGCTGCTGTAGCTGTAGGGCGCCTGGGGGTACGAGGGTGCCTGCGCGGGGTAGAGCGCCTCGGGAGGCGGCCCCGGCGGCCCCGGCGGCGCCGCGGGAGCCTGGTAGCCCGGTTCCCGGCGCGGCCGCGGGAAGTACTCGGGCAGCGCCGGGCCCGGGTGCGCGGCGTGCAGGTGCGGCGGCGGCGGCGGCGGCGGAGGCGGCGGGGCGTGCGGGTGCGAGTGGTGCGGGTGGTAGCTGGCGGAGCTGCCGGCGCTGCCGCTGTGCTGCGTGTATTCCTCGCAGGGAGGGAATTTGGGCTCGATGTAGTTGGAGTTTATCAAAAACGAACTCATGGTCATTAATTTGTGAAGTGCAAAAATACTAATTTTTCTCGCGTTGTCGTTTTTCTGGGCTCGGCGAGGCCCCTCCCCTTCCCCCCCCCTTCCCTCCCTTCCCTCCCTCTCCCCCTCCCGCTGCTGTCAAGTGCTGCCGCTGCCAAAGTTTGGGCCTCCAGCCCTTCCCCCCCCCCCCCCCCACTTCCCCGCTGCACTCCCCTCCCTTCCTCTCTTCCCACCCCTGGAGCGCCTACAACACACACAAACACACACCCGCGCACACACACACCCGCACCCCCCGCCGCCCCGCCACCACCTGACCGCCAGCGCCAATTACCGCGCGGGGCCGCGGACCCCGGATCAGGAAATGGAAGAGGGACGAGCGGCCGCAGGGCAGCTCCGCGCCCGCGGACCCTCGGCGGGGACCGCGCCTCCCCCGCGGGCGGCGGCTGCCTGGCGAGGGAGCGCCCCGCGTCCGCCCCTCACCAGCATCCCCGGCTCCTCTCGCCCGCCGGCCCGGGCCGCGTCCAGCAGTCGCGGTGTCAAGCGAGATAAAACTAATCCGGCTTTGACAGTCTCCCACCCGCCCCGCCCGCCCCAGCACTTTTTGTGTCCTCGTTCTCCCGTGGGAGAGTGTAGGAAGCGGGGCGAGGAAGCGGAGCGCAGCCCAGCCGCGCGATCCAGAGGGAGGCAGGCGTTGCACAAGGCGTTGCACAATCCCTTTGAACGAGCCCATCCCCAAACGCCGGGGCTGCGCGCAGGCAGAGGGCGGCAGCGGCTGTCGGGCACAGGCCACCGGCCGCCCTGCAGCCTCTGTCCCCAGCGCCCCGCCGCTGCGGACCGCCCGGGCTCCAGGGACAGCCTTGTGCCCCTTTGAAGCTGGGCTAATTGGAGGGAAAGCTAGAACGAAGGTCGCGGGGAGGCCGAGGAGAGTCCTCGAGGGGCTTGCGGGGAGCAAGGCATAGAGCGAGCCTGAAAATAACGGGGAACAGAGGGGGAAGGGAGAGGGGAAGACGGACACGACGGTATCAAACACTTCCTACCGGCGATTACAGGGCTCACTGGGAGCATCCCTCCCCGCGGAGCAGAGCTTTCTGAACTACGAATTTAAGTCCGTTGGTTTGGTGTGCCTCGTCTGGGGTTTATTTTTAATTTTCACTTCCATAAGAAATCGCTAGCGCCTTCGCAGCAGCAGCTCGCAAACCCTGGTGTAGGAGGGAGAGAGCAGCCGGGCACTTCTAGGTTGCTAAAACTGAGACTGTTAACGGTATTTGCAGCTCAGGGGGAAACGAGGCAACCGCCCTGACCTTAGGTAATTGAAATTTGATGGTTAAACTAATTACGCTCTTATTCTAAGGGGACAAAAAGTACTTATTGAAAGTCAGTTAGTCTGCCACATTTGGAGTAGGCGCGAACTTTTTCAGATTATTTTTTTTAATCTGTACAGGAAAGAATATAAGCAGATAGAAATATTTACCACACCCTTAGAGAATATAATTGCTGAGTGGCTAAATCTCATCTGCTGGTATGGGAAAATACTTCTAATATATCAAGCGTAAATATGATACAGTTTAGATCTTGCCTTCCTAAAGATATTACACTAACAGTTACCCTGGTTTAAATTCAGATTATTGTCTTTTGCAGTTTAATAGATAATGGATACATGCAATAAAATTCTATTTGAATATATATTCTATCTAACAAGACACACAGCGTATCGATTTATATTTTATCCACAGACACATAGGCACGCACGTTGCATGCGGCTTGTAATATGTTAGAACATTTCCAGCACTTGGGTATACTGGGGTACTTATCTAAACAATCACTCATTTCCTCCTACTATCGAATGTCTAATTTGTAAAGAGAGTTAAAACACATTTACTTACTCATTTCCAACAGCACATCTATGGAACTCTAACTAGAGTAATAGATAAGTTTCTCTATTTACTCTGCGTGGAGAGGAAATGCGGTTACACACACGCGGTTACACACAGAGACAGCCGCAACTGCTCAACAGCACACATTTGATAGAAAAGGGGAGATTGTTTTATTTAGATTCCAAACAACAGAACAACAGCAAACCCATTTCCTAAAAGGAAAAAAGCTCCCATCTGCATGACTGTTAAAAATAAAAGACCGCCGAAGTCCACCACGATAGCATTTTCCCGGCATAAAGAGATACATGCACACACAGAGACGCACACATACAAATACCTGCCGGCTAGCACCAGATGAATTACACTGGGGTATCGTAAATATTATCCTCGGCATAAGTCCTGAGGCTCTGTGGCCGGAGCACTACGGCGGGCTGCCGTGTTCCCACGCCACAGTAAAACACAACGAGAAGTGTTGTCTCGGTTTGTCAGATCAGCGCTATATTGGGAGAGTTGGCCGGGCTCTGCTTCATATTATTTACTGCGATTAGATCTCAAAGTTTCACCGTGCCCTTTTCTACAGGAGGGCTCTGGCGCTTGGTTACAGAGAGAAGGACTCAGTTTTGTATACGGGTGTAAATCTGCAAGGTGACCTGAGCTGCCCAGCTCAAGTCTGGCTTTTTCGTGTGGCTCTCTTGGTCTGTGAAGATGTGCTGAGGCAGGACCTCCAAAAGGCCTGTTCCGTGTCTTTCTGGTTTTGTTATCATAAACAAGAACCCAGCCAAGACCACCAAGTGTTATCTTGCACACGGCCATTTCGACATTTTACTGCAAGATTTATGGCTGTAATAAACAATCTCAAACCCTTTTTTCCCCCAGTACTTCCCTTTAACAAACTTGTACCATCACCCTAAGTTCTCAAAGAAAGAAAAGGATAGGATAAAATAGGCCAGCTCCCTTATTTTTCTAGAAGGACTGAAGGCTCGATTTCACTGGAGAAGGAGACTTCAATCAATTAATAAAGAAGCGAGAGTTTCCTGGCCGAGGCTGGCCGAGAATGGGATGGGGACAGCACTGGAATTAAGTTGAGAGGGAGAGAGTAAATTTTCATGCACCAAGAAGAAGCAACTCAATACATACCGAAAGAGGGAGAAAAAGGGGATCCCTCTTTTCCTTGTGAAACAGGCAAGCATTCCTGTTACCCTCCACATACGCAGCTAAAACATAATTACCACGAAAGAGAAAATTATAATAACAACGGCAATAATAATAATAGCAGTGTAATAATAATAATAATAATAATAATAATAGTAATTCAAGTCAACCTCTTGCCGTGCCGGGCATCCTCCACCGAGAGCGGTAGGAGGAGGAAGAATCGCACTAGCAGCCTGGTTTGACTTTGATTTGAACCATTTTGAATATATTTAGTCCCAGCTTTCCCCTCTTGAATGCGAGGCTGTCCCAAGTTTCAAAGTGACCGAAAAGTGACACCGTGTGCATTTTGTTTCTTATTAATCTTACACATTGACAGTCTTTGTTAAATAACAAGGCGTGCCCTTCACCAGGCGACATTTTCATATTTGTTAGACGCGGTGACCTGAAGTTCACCTCGGCCTTGGACTTAGTTTTTCTAAAAGGTCTATAACAGTGTCTTTTAGATAGCAGGGTGCTTTGCCCAGGTCACTTCTTCTAAGGGAAAAATAAGAAAAAAATCGAGGGAAAATGTAAACGTTATGGAATGTATCGACTGTATTCCTTTCTTTGTTCCTGGGAATGATACAGCCCCGAGGCTGCTCCTGCCTCCGCGGATGAGAGAGTCCTTCCCGATGGGCGCTGCCGGGGCAATGTTGGCATTTTTGCCCCAAGTTCAGCATTTGATAAAAGCGATGGTTTCCCTGGCACTGGGGCTCCTCTTAACAACGGGATGGTTGGCGGGGTTTGCTCACCCTGTCCTGGTGCGCTTAAATAAACACACGTAAAATGTGATTTGTGCCCGGATTTTAAATGAATGGTCTTTTGAGCAGACCTTCCACGCCAGAGAGCAGCGTGCTGAATGCAGAGAGTGAAAGGACAGAAAGAGTTCGTCTCAAATTATTAACTGAACTGTCCTGTTCTAGCCCGTTGGCTTTTTTTTTTTTTTTTTTTTTTTGGGGGGGGGGGGAGGAGGAGGGAAAAGGGGAAACAATTTAAACAATAATTGAAAAGAGTCAATATTTATGTAAGTCGCGGTTTCAACTTCTTTGAAATTATTCTCATTGATATTTTTATTCTAAACCAGATTTAAAATACAGAATTCGGACCACTAATTGTTTTAGTGAGGAAGTAAATGGATTTCTGTCACCTACCCTTGAGTAAGCCGGTTATAGTAACAGCTTTCATTCTGGGTATATCAAAGACGCATTGTTATTCTTGGAAACAATCCGCCTGCTATTCTCTAACAAAATAGATATTTGGCTACGGTTTTTAGCTTGTTATCAGGCTTCGCTCTTACACCAAATAAATAGTCTGGATGTGAAAGGTTATATACTATCTCCAGAGCGGGCAGGCTCCCTAAACGCGCAGTGCCAGGGCTCGCTACAAGTGAGCAGCAGCAACAACTTGTGAACAGCGTCTACACGCCGAGCAAACACTTGCATTACACACTTTCCAGGCTTCAGCAGGTACTTTAGGCACAATCTCCGATAATCACTTTGGCTAATCTGATATCTAACCTCTCGCGTACTTGTTCCCAAGATACAGCGCTCGCCTGCCACGATCCAGCTGTGTCTCTGGCAAATAATTCACGCGTACCAGTTACACAGAGGCCGGTGTAGGCTGCTGCCTTGGGGGTGGAAAGGCAGCAATGCGTGGCTGGGGGTGAGGTGCGCTCTTTCTCGGATTTCCTTGTCGCACTGTCGCCTCCTCCACACCTTTCAGGTCTGATTACGACTATATTCGAGTATCCTTTCCCTCTTCCACCGACCCCTCAGCCTTAAAATTTCAAGCTGAATCCCGTCTGCGATGATGCCCTCCAAAATGAAGTTGCTTGAGCAATATTGGCTAGTTCTCCCTCAGACACGTCTAACCAAGGAGCTGAAGCTTTTACTCAGTGGCGGCACTGGGAACAAAAAAATCCCAGCAATGTGGGAATCTCTCCGCGCTAAGAAA